CTGCCACCTCAGCTTCTCGAACGGGTGGTTGCACTCTGACTGCGCTCTGATGCGGTCTGGGTCGTACTTGGCTTTCGGCCCCGCCTCAAAGCGACCGCCGATCACCTGGCTCTGGTACATGTCGCGGTGCATCTCCTTCTTCTCGATGTCGCTCATCTTCGGGCGCGGCTGGGTCATCGTAAACATTTTGCCGCTGCTCGTCGCGATATCCTCTCCCGGCCGCCCCCTGCTTGCTGCGCCCCCAGCCTCGGGCGAAGCGCGAGCAGCAGACGCAGCGGTTTCTTCCCTCGCACGTGCAACGCGCCGAGTCTCAACCATTTTCTTCCACGCGCTGCCTGCTCCTTTCTCCTCGTCCTCGCCCGATGGCAACCGATCACCTCGAGACCTACCGTCCTGTTGCCGTCTCTGCTGTAGCCGGTCCATGATATCTGCTGAAGTCGGCTTGCCGACCACCTTCTCATCCAGGCTCTTCTCCTTCGCCTCGAGTACCTGTAGCTGCTCCTGCAGCTCCTCCCTCGCTTTGCGCAGGTCCTGTAACTCCTTCCTGTCCTCGGCCTTGCGTTGCCCATACTGGTCCACCATGTCCCAATCAGCAGCGCTCGAGGCGTCAGTCGAGCCACGGGAGTTGCTCATGAACACGGAGCGCACGCTCATAGAATCTAGGGGTTCAGGACGCTCGCGCTGCAGGGTCACGAGATTCAGCCGCCGAACGACATTGTCAGCATCTATGAAGTGGAAACAGGCCGGTCGGATTTTGTATATGGGTGCGAACTGCTTCTGTCTCGAAACCCACTGCTCGCCGATATCCTTCGCCAGCGTGGGGTCCAGCCTCAATGAATGCGCCATCGTCTGCGTTCCGCTGCTTGTCCCCAGAGGGGAGCGGGAAAGCCTCTTGCTCACGATGGCGACGTTTCTGTCGTTCTGCTTGATTGGATGTTCGATCAATGTCTCGATCTTCAGGCTCCTCCTTCACCCTCGTCCTCTCGCGAGTTTCGGTCCCAAGCGCGGCCGCGCTCCGCGTTGCAACACGGGGGGGCGCGCTCTGAGGCGTCTCGTGTGACGAAGGCTGGCGTTTCGCGCGGCTGCGCCCGGAGTCGCCTGCAGACGACCACCTCGGAGCCGCCTTGCGCTCCAAGGAACGCCCGCGTGGCTCTCTCGAAGGCGCCCTGCATGTCCGGGGAGAAGTCCTCCTCGAGCGGGCCGGGCGACCTCCGGGCGAAGGCACCCTCCTCGATGCCATATCTTCCTTAACCTCCTTGTGGTCGTTAACCTTCTGCTCGCAATTGTCCGCAACCTCCTTGTAGTCGTTGCCGTCGCTTGCGCTCGCGTTGAGAATCTTCGCGATCGTCGTAACGATGTCTCCCGTGTCCACGTCGCGGACCGAAAGCTTCGTAGCCAGCCTCAGCGTGACGACGCAATTGTCGACCTCCACGATGTGCCTGCAAGAGCCGTTCTTAAAACAGATGTGCTTGCGATCGTCCTCAACGCGTCTCTGAGTGTGCCGCGCCATTCTGGCCGTGGGCACTCTAATTTCGACGTCGTGCCTGTCATCAAATGTGTTGGCCGTGAGCTTGATTATCTCGACTCTGTCTGAACTGTTGCTGCTCCTGGTGTCCTGCTCTCTCCCAGGCCTGTGTTTGGGCTCTGCGCCCTGGCACCCCTTTTTTCAGAAGTAGCCGCGCCGACCCAGTGCAATACTGGACCATGCACCCTCGATGGCTTTTTCGAGCCAGCGGCTTCTGTACCCGGCTTCTTCTTATAAGGCTCACGCTCACCGCTTGCCACCCTAGGGCACTCTGCGCCACCGCGCCAATGCCCGAGGCGGCCGCAATCGGCACAACGACTGCTGGCATTTCTCTGGTCAGGTTTCTGGTCGAATTTCTGTGGAGAACTTCTAGATCCGGGTGGAGGCCGGTCGCTGCTGCCGCCTCCCCGGCTGCCCCGAGACCTCGGTGCAACGTAGCCCCGCTTCAGCCTGAGAGCAGCGGTCTTCTGCTTAGCCCGCCAGCCGGCGACGAAGGCCTCCTGGAGTTCCTCTTCCAGCTCCATGTCGCCCTCGTCGCCCTCTCCTTCAACCTGCTCCTCCTCCAGCTGGTCCCTATCGTCCTCCTGGTCCTCAAAGTACACCTCTGGGTCCTCCTCGTGATCCTCATCGTGCTCCTGACCATGCTCGCTCTCCTCGCCATTGCGCTGGTCGTCCTCTGGGTCCTCCGTCTCGCGCACCGTCGTGTAGTTCCCGCGGATGGCCAACTTCGCCTTGTAGCCTTTGTCCTTGTTCCTGTCATCGCGGGCCCCCTGGAACCTCCCATCACGAGCACGATACGGTAGTGCAGCGTGGGACCTCCTAGGTAGTAAGTTGCTATTATTGTCCACCTCGTGTATATCTTGGAATGTGCCACCTTCAACGCCGCCTCCATCCGCTTCGAGTCATAGATCCCGCCGCAGTTGAAGATCACCTGGCTGCGCTCGCGCTGCGCGAGGCCTGCCCCCCGCAACATCTTGCTCGCCAGGGCCGTGTCCGAGATCGCCGAGGCCGGGTCCTGGAGCTGCAACTCCATCCTCTTCTTCCTCAGGTAGGTGATCCAATCCATCATGGGTTGGCCTTGGCGCCGCGCTGCCACCCCCACTCCTGGCGTGCGTTGTCGAGCCTCTCGTGGTCCATCTTCTCGAAAACATCATCGTATATCGCGTAGATCATCTCCAAGGCGTCGTCCTTCCTCAGGTCCTCGGGCTCCGCGATCTCGATGAGTGTCTTTGCCCTGCCACTCACTTGGCTGAAGATGATCAGGGCGAGCTCCGAGTCCGTCAACTGGTTGAGGTTCTGGATGATGCTCAAGTTCGTGCGCCACTCTCTATAGCGCTTCGTCGACGTCTTCACGTCCCCGTCGAACTCCGGCAACTTCACCTGCGACAGCAGCAGCCGTGTCCGACGTGGACCTCCCTCGCGCTGCAAGCGGAGGAGATCCCTCTGCGTCTCCGCCATGACGCGGAGCACCGCATTCAGATCCGGAGTAGCACCCGGGTCGTCGCCAGCCGAAGGCGAGGATGCCACCTCGCCATCAGCATCTCGCGAGCCAGACATGGCGCCGGCCCGCGCGGGAGTCGCGATGGGAGCTTGCACCCTCCCGCGGAGAGCGTGCAAGCTCAGGCGTGGAGCGTGCTAGCTCCGCTACCAATGTCAGTACTGTTTTTTTTTTTTTTCCCAACCCTCCTTGGTTGGGTATTCGTTTTGAATAGAGCAGTGTGGTCGCGTCCTTCCTCCTCCCGCCTCCCGCCTCTTTCCTGCCTCTTTCTGTCTTGCCTGCGGGGGGCTGTGAAACTGTCGCCAGTTTCGAGGCCTGCTGGGGGGTCCAGCATAGAGGGCAATCGCGGCAGATCCAAATTAGACCTCGCCATTCCTGGGGGGCTGCGATCTGTGAAACTGTCGCCACTTTCGAGGCCTGCTGGGGGGCTCAGCATAGAGGGTAATCGCGGCAGATTCAAATTAGACCTCGCCATCCCTGGGGGGGGGGGCTGCGATCTGTGAAACTGTCGCCACTTTCGAGGCCTGCTGGGGGGTCCAGCATAGAGGGCAATCGCGGCAGATCCAAATTAGACCTCGCCCTCCCTGGGGGGCTGCGATCTGTGAAACTGTCGCCACTTTCGAGGCCTGCTGGGGGGCCCAGCACAGTGAGGGCCACGCGCGGATTCAAATTAGACCTCGCCATCCCTGGGGGGCTGCGATCTGCGAAACTGCCGCCATTTTCGAGGCCTGCTGGGGGGCCCAGCACAGTGAGGGCCACGGGCAGATTCAAATGAGACCTCGCCATCCCTGCGGGGCTGCGATCTGTGAACCTGTCGCCACTTTCGAGGCCTGCTGTGATCCCCGTTTTCGAAGTGGCTAGGAGTGCTCAGGAATTGTAAATCATCAGCTTTATCAAGCCCTTTTCCTGTAGCCAGTGTCCTGCGAGTCTCCCGAATTCCGTCTGCAGACATATGTAACCCTCGCTCCGTCATCGCCCCCTTATAAAGTATCCTAAACTATTTGCGCCCCGCTTTTGCGCAGGGGTTGGGTACGTCGCCAGGGTAATTTCTCAGCGGGCGCGCGGCGCCGGTTGCTGTCTTAGGGCCCTAAGACTAGGGCCGAAAAGGGGGCGCGGCAAAAAAGGGGGGGGTCGGAGGCAGAAAGAGAGGATTGGGGCAAGCTGAAGGCAGACGGGCGGGGCACCCGTGAAATTCTCACAGAACCATGTCCCCGGGAGGTTTTCTGGGAACATGATTTCTTGGGGTGTGTTGGGGGGCCTCTTGGGCGTTCCCTGGGAGCCCCCTGGGGGTCTCTTGGGGCTTCCTGGGGGCCTCTTGGGCGCCTCGCGGGGCTTCATGGGAGCCTCTCGGTGGCCTCCGGGGGCCTACAAGCGGCCTCTCGGGCCACAGACCTCGAAATATCGGTTGGCGGTCCCCCTCTGGGCCCTCTCTTGGGGAGCTCTTGGGGCACAATTGGATTGTCTGGGTAGCCCCCTGGGCCGTCTTGGGGCCCTCTTCGGGGCCTCGTGGCCCGTCTTGGAGCGATCTGAAGGGCCTCCGAGCGAGGCCGTGAGGGAGTGCTGGGAAGCGGGGCAAGCGAGAACACCGAAATCTTTCAAACACCATCGGAAAACCTGTAAATCTTGCCTCCCAGGGGAGCCTCTTGAGTCCGTCCTGGAGCGTGTTGAACAATGGAGTCCTCGTCGGCTGTCTTGAAGGCAGCTTGGGCGTCTTCGGGGCCTCTTGGGACCGTCTAGGTCCCTCTCGGGACCTCCATGAGCCTGTCGTGGCCTGATTCGGGGCGGGTCGGGGCCGCCTCGGGACCCCTCTGGGCTTTCTCTTGGGGCACACTTGGGTTGTCTGGGGGGCCCCCTGGGCCGTTTTTGGGACCTATTCGGGGCCTCGTGGCCCGTCTTGGAGCGATCTGAAGGGCTTCCGAAGTCGTGAGTAACGTGTTTCACCTACAACTGGCCAGAGTGCAGGCTGTCTTCACAGTAACTGAACAGAGCTCAGCTGGACAAACGATTGGTGTTATGTTATCAAAGCACGCCACTCCGTCCCCAAAAAGTATGAATCTGTACAACATAACAAACGAATAGTATGTCGATAGACTCACACAAATGCGCACGATGGATGTGTTTTTGTCCACGCCCTCGTCAGGCAGCGTCTCACGCTTCACTCATCCATTTCGCCCCTAAGCTGCGATGGTGTACGCGGGGGTGGGGCAGCATACGCATGCCGGGCAAGTGGCACACTCGAGCACGAATGGCGAGCATCGACAAGCACAAGTGGCCTGCGCTGAAAAAAAAAACTGCGAACTCTGAACGACGCCGGCCCCAAGGGCATTAGGCAAACTGAACAACGAAGCCTTGGGGTATTGAGCAAAAACAAAGCCAAGCTGTCCACTTAATATTTGCGCCACTGCCGAAACTCCGGGGTACCTCTTGGCCCGGATCCGGGTTGCGAAGTTTCTACAAGAGGGGGGGAGGGAGGAGAAGGAAAGCAGGGGACTTGAGGTAAAGGGGGCGCCCGTTTAAAGAAAGTGCCCCTGCAGACGGATCCGAACAGAGTGGGAGTCAAATGAATTTGTGCCCTGCGGTCGCCTCCTTGCGAGAAATCCACGCTGCCAGCTGTTCAATCCAGAATGGCAAGTGTCGCAAACGCATGCGAGGGAGAGGGAGGGAGCGGAACTCAGGTGCTCAGATGTGGGAGATGTCTAGAAGATCCACCGGCTGACTGTGCGGAGACCGCCGCGTGCAAAATTTGCCCATCTGCCCATGTGGGATAGGACGGTGGGACGGCGATGAGGTAGCTGCCCTCTGTCAGCAGGAGGTGCGCGGCATCGAACACCCGGACTGCGTGGTCCCACCGCGTGCCCGCCGCCGCCAACTACTGCCCAGCGGCGACGCATTGCCAGGGCAGTTCTGTTGAACCATGTCTGATTGAGCTCTTCCTGAGCGAGATGCAACTGTTCCAATTCCTGGCAGCGAGGGTCAGCCTGTTGGGCAAGCGTGAACCAACCCAGTGCCCCTGCAGACAAGCCAAGCAACAGGAATAGCAGCAATAACGTCACAGTAGGAATATAGCTGCACACTGCGGCAACACATGACAACGGGAAGGATGTGAACATGTAGCCACGGCCCCACGCTGTAGCGGAGGCTCTCCGTAGATTCACTGTCACCGTATCATCTTCTTCTCACTTGGCAACAGCGCGGAGGATCTCGACCACCATCTCGCGGTTGTCCGCTGGGACATCGTCGAGAATATTGTGGGCAAGCTTGGTCCATTTTGCAGGTTTGAACTCCGTCCGGCCGATGATGGCGTCCGCGAGCTTGGGGGCGCTGTAGTGACCCCTGGGAAGTTTGCCGGACAAACCCCCCTCTTTGAAGAGAATGGTGTGCTCGGAGGCATCGATGATGAGGTGGCGCGGGCGCCTGGCCAATGGCCCGTTGCCGGCGTCGGCGTCGCCGGGGCTGTCGGGCGGCGGTCGCTTGTCCCGGGCGCGCCTGCGAGGGGTCCCCGGATCCGCACCGGCACCTCCCTTGGCTGCAGCGGAGGCTGCTGAGTGCGCTGCAAGTGCCCACGGGTCGCCCTGCGCTTTCCCGAGCTCTGCCAGGAGTTCTGACTTGGCCTCCTCCTTTACTTTCCGGACAAGGTCCTTCTCGCGCGTCTGCTGGTCCGCCTGCTGCTCCCGCGCCGCGCGCTGGCGCTCGCGTTCCTCGAGCTCCTCCAAACGTTTCCAGTGCGGCCCTTTGTCGTCGAAGCCCTTGCCGCCGCCCTTGGGGGTCCTGCGGCCAAAGAGCCACGAGAGCATGTGCACTAGCTCTAAGGCTACGCGCGCTGCGTTCGGGATCGGATGGGGCGTGCTAGGGAAATCGAGCAGCTAGAAGGCAACAGAAGCGATGCAAAAAAGGAGAGAGGAGGAGCAGGAGGGACCCAGAGTGTGAAGAGTGTAGCCTCTCTGCCCCTTTGCCGTTCAGTAGCGAACAGCACGGATGGACCGGTACACCGAAAATGCACGGATAGGCCGGTACACCGAAAAAGCACGGATGGACCGGCACAGCGAACAGGATTCCTACCCTCACGCCCAGCTGGCGAACTCAGAAAGGAGAGGAGGGGTGGAGGAGGGAATGACGACGAGACCGCCCGGGGGAATGCTTGCTTGGGGGCAAAGTCTGTTCCCGCACACGTCCCTGACCACGCTGCATTTGATGCCCGTGCTGCTGGAGCGACAGACGGCTGGTCAATTCGGATTTGGACTCCGCGACTGCCCGTTGCACGCATGCGAACCGCCGGAGGGCGCTGGCCGTGCCCCGGATGCGCGGCCAAGGATAATCGAAGAGGGCAGCTTCACGCAAACGGAGGGTCACGTGAGCAGATGCCTCAGGACTATCTGGGCCAAGCACCTGGACAACGCGGTGAATGTGGGCAGCGAGCCACCAGCGGAGGCGGCGGCGCGTCACATCATCCCATTGCACAAACTGCGGCAAACTATAATGTGCCACAGGGCAACGGTCAGTACCAACATCGTATTGCGCGGCCACGGCCGCAGCATTTTTGGACCGCAATCCAATGCTAAGCGACGGCCCAATCGAAACGAACAAATCAAGCCACGAGAATGTGTGGACCCGTTGGTCTGGATCCTGGTGGTCAGTTTGGGCTACAGGCGTCTGTTGCTCAACAACGAGAGGCGCACAGTACATGAGCACGCACATGTGCAACAGGCATGTTTCACAATAGACGCAACTACCGATTAGTGCATCATCCATGTATCGACACCCGGCAGTGGTACTTCCAAACTGGGACGGGGTGTCACCGAAACCCGCATGGGAACGCCGTTGGTGGTCCTCGGCCCAAGAAGCCTCGCGCCCTCCGAGTAAAATGCTGGCGCATGCCCCAGAGGCACCACCTCCTTGCGGGACGCCCAACTGTCGATAGAGCTGGCAACCCAGCCGGAACACGTTGCACGACAGGTAGAAGGAAAACATCATTTGAAGCTGCACGAAACTAAACCAGACACCTCTCGTACCGTAGGGCGTGCCACCGGCAAAGGCTTGATATGTGCGTGAGAACAAGACTGTCACGCCAGCCGCCGTGGTTAGGTGAGCACACCGTGTAACGTAGCGAGAAAAGTGGCTCTGGACAGCATCAGGCGACACATCTTTGAACAACTGGTTAATGTCGACTTGGACGACAACGACCTGCGGCTTGTGCGCGCAACAACGCCGACATGCATGGGCACGCTCTGGGTGCACGAAGAGGGGGCCAATGCGTGCTCGCACACTGGCAGCAGCGTCGCGCAATCGCCAAACAGCCCAATCAATACGGCCACTAGTTTAAACAACACACTGCAAGGCACGGCTGAACCAGCGTAACTGTCGCTTCAAGGAGGCCCTGTGATTGGCGATGATCTCACGTACGTGCGCATGCTCTTTGTCACAACAACGGCCGTTGTCATTGAAGCATTTTCGTTTTATGTTCACGTAAGCTCTGGGCAATGCGTCGCCACGCCATACAGAACGTCGCCTCTGCATATATGGTGGGCAGAGACGCTGGCGCTCCAGGAACATGCGCATGCAACCTGTCTCTATGCCGCAGTCAAGACGTTCATAGTGCCTCGGGTCTAACGTGAAGTTCTCAACCAACATGGCTTCGTACGTGCGTGTTGGCATGCCCGCGCCCGCAGACGGGCATTTGTCCTGTTGGGCCAACACCTCGCAATCCCGGGCCTGGGCATACAGTCTCCGTAACGCTGGTGGGAAGTGCCTCCGGGGGGGGCATGGAGACTTGCTGCAGCCAGGCAGTGGTGGCACACTGGAAGTCGAACTGTTCCCTGCCATCGCCTGGACCTGGGCGGGAGGGGGAGGGGAGGGCACGCAGCACGGCGAGAAGGACGACAAGCACAGACAGGACGAGGACGACGAGACAGAGGGGGCGGCAGAAAGGCAGGAGGAAAACGAGAGAGAGGAAGAAGAGGGACAGGAGAGGGCGGGAGGTGAACTCAACAAGCATTTGATGGGCGCAACCCTGGTGGAGACTTCTGGGGCGTTTCCTACGCCCAGCAGCGTGGCGTGCAGAATGCGCGCGCTGTTCTTCATAGTGACGGGCCACAGTGCGAAAGCGTTCCTCAATCAACTCGGGCGCGATGCAAGAAGACCAGAACCAGCGAGCCACAGTCCGGGACCACGCGTGGGCCGACGCGCGGGCGTGGATCGGAGCTGGTGCATTCAAGTTTTGGTCAAAGTGGCGCATGTGTTCGCCACGGGCCATGCGACTAATGTTTTCAACGCGCTCGTGCCGCCACCGTTCAACATCGAAATGAGAAGCACATGCCCGATGATTGCAACAACGCTGCATGATGGTGGTGGCGCGGCCAGGAATCACATGCAAGTGCTTCCGCCACCACGCGGCAAGTGCGGAGTGCACGGGTGAAGAGCAAGCAATGCGTGATAATTCTGCTCGGATGGCAGCCCGGATTCGGACGGCATCCCGAGGGCGAGCATCAGGGAGGGCGAGCCACGCGGGTCGGATACCCTGGAATCCACTCCGCTGCAGGGCCCCGGAGATCCTTTGTCGAGCATATGTGCGTCTGCTCGGGTTGGCGACATGTTCCGCCAGAGATCGCATGCGCAACAGCAGAGCAGGCGGCATGCACCTCCATGGAACAACCACTCGCCGCGCGGCTGCCTTGCACGTCCACAAATGAGCAACATCTTCGGTAAAAGGCAGATCAGACGATGCGCCGAGCCGATGCAAAGCTGACCAAGGTAAGCGTGCCCACATGTGCGTGCTCGCGTCACCTGCATCGACCGCCTCAATGATCTCGCGCCTCCAAGACTGCGACATGATGTATGTTATGTTCAAGGGGAGGGTCTCGCGCAACAACGTTCGGCGACGCTGCCACTGCCCAGGGCGCTGCCGGCTTTGCTCTTGCACATAATATTTCTGACAACCACGTTTGCGAGAGCCTTGGAGAGGTAATGCAAAAGAGCGGATGGTAAACTGCTCACGGTGCCAAGCCATCGAAGGTGTGCCGAAGAATGTGGGGAACATGTGGTTTCTGTGCAAAGGAGCTCTCGCACGCCAGACACGGTATCGCTTTTCAGTGCCCCATTTTACCCGTGCCTCTCGGATCTTGTGGTCAAGCCACCGCTGGGCGAATCCGAAACGGGCACCTTTGGTGAAGCGGCGGCCATGGCAAAACCCAACATAGAACATTCGATGAGTGGCGGATATCCCGGCGACGTACGTGAAAGCACCACTGTCGAACGTGGAGGGCGCGCAAAGCAATGTCTCTATGATCCAGCAGAACCAAGCTTGCATGGCTTCGGCAAGGCCACCCCCGTCCACAATAATGCGATGGATGTCTGGCGGGAGGGGGCGGACAAACAACGAAACCAAAGAATGGTTTCTCCAAGCGAACTCTGGGGCAACACTGCGTTTGATGAGGGTTGCCATGCCAGCGACTGCGTCCAACAAGGCCAGCAAGGCAACAACGCGTTTGTGGGTCCGGCCCCAGGAGATGCGTGCAGGGAGCAGCCATTTGAGACCAAGGGCAAGCATCCACTCGAGGTGCCCCGTGTCCGCCCACGAGAAGAAGAGAGGAAGAGAAGCGATTGAGGCATGCCACACTGAAGGGATGTCCGCGGAGGTATGCGGCCAGCGCCCGACTAGCAGAACATGGAAGTAGGCGAGAATCCGTTTTGGAGGCAAGCGTGCAATCTGCGCGCACGCCTCGTGACTCCAGCCGTCAGCGTGGGCAGCAGGGATGCTCAACATATGCGCTACTTGGCATATGCGCGAAGACACATGGCTGCACGACATTGATGGAAAGCAGGAGGAGTGCAACGGCGCGGACAAGCGCCAAATCAAGGAGATGCGGAAAATAGATGTAGCAACAGTCGGTAGATACAAAGCCCACTACGCTGTGACGCGATTCGTGAGCGACGTCGAGTAACGCGTTTCACCTACAACTGGCCAGAGTGCAGGCTGTCTTCACAGTAACTGAACAGAGCTCAGCTGGACAAACGATTGGTGTTATGTTATCAAAGCACGCCCCTCCGTCCCAAAAAAGTAGGAATCTGTACAAAATAACAAACGAATGGTATGTCGATAGACTCACACAAATGCGCACGATGGATGTGTTTTTGTCCACGCCCTCGTCAGGCAGCGTCTCACGCTTCACTCATCCATTTCGCCCCTAAGCTGCGATGGTGTACGCGGGAGTGGGGCAGCATACGTATGCCGGGCAAGTGGCACACTCGAGCACGAATGGCGAGCATCGACAAGTACAAGTGGCCTGCGCTGAAAAAAAACTGCGAACTCTGAACGACGCCGGCCCCAAGGGCATTAGGCAAACTGAACAACGAAGCCTTGGGGTATTGAGCAAAAACAAAGCCAAGCTGTTCACTTAATGTTTGCGCCGCTGCCGAAACTCCGGGGCACCTCTTGGCCCGGATCCGGGTTGCGAAGTTTCTACAAGAGGGGGGGAGGGAGGAGAAGGAAAGCAAGGGACTTGAGGTAAAGGACGCTGGAAAACGCGAAAAGCGAGAACGCCAAAATCCAAAACACTCGGAAAACCTGTGAATATTCCCTTCCAAGGCCCTTTTGGGGAGCCTCTTGAGTCCGTCCTGGAGCGTGTTGGAGTCCTCGTCGGCTGTCTTGAGGGCAGCTTGGGCGCCTTCGGGGCCTCGTGGGACCGTCTTGGGTCCTCTCGAGACCTCCTTGGCCTGTCGTGGCCTGCTTCGGGGCGGGCTCAGGCCGACTCGGGAGCTCTGGGCCCCCCCGCAACCCCTGGTGGGCACCGATGGGGGGAACAGGCAGCGGCCCGCCCCCCCCACCCCCGGGCCTACTCCGAGATTGAGAATCATGTCTCCAGATGTTCCCGGGGAACTTTCCGCGAGCATGATTTGTTCTGAAAGGAGTGGTTCAACTTCAGTGACATATAGACGATCCACTTGAGTTGTGGATGACTTCTGGAACTTGCCTGTCCTTCCATATAAAGAACTTCGTGTTGACTTGAACTAGTTGTACATAGTACATAAGTTCCGCCGCCGTGTTTTCACACCAACTAAAAAATGTAAACCCAATGTAAGACATGTAAAACTGATAACAATCAGCAAAGGTGAGTACACATCACTCTTCTCAGACCAAACCTCTCTGATGTCCCTCTTCTCAGACCAAACCAGTATGTCACTTCCTTCCCGCGGGAGCGTCGTCGTCGTCGTCGTCGCCATCGCCTTCGTAGTTTCCACCAACCGTTTAGGCTCGAGCCTGCACTCAAGTTCCGGGCCCAACGTTTCCAACCGGCAATTGCATGGCCTCGAGAGCCATGCGCTGAGGCGGATCCGCAGCGCCAGCACGAGCATCGAAGGAGCCAGAGGAGGAGCCCGACACTGGCGCAGCGCCAGCAACATCAGTACTAGCAGGCGCAGCGCCAGGATCATCAACATCAGCACCAGCAGGCGCAGCGCAAGCAGCATCACCATTCTCATCGCCAGGCGCAGCGCCAGCAACACGAGCACCAACTCCCCCTCCGGCGCGCTGCGCGCCTGGTGGCGAAGAAGCCAGGCAGCACGAGCAGCAGCAGCAGGCGCAGCGCCTGGGCAGCGCAGACGCGCAGGCGCGCAGGGCGCAGCGCAGCCACGGGCTGGCGGCGCTGCAAGAGGCGCATCGTCAACAACAACTTGAAATGAGGGATCGCTGCGCAGCGATTGTGGCGCTTTTGGCGCCAGCAGGCGCAGCACCAGCAAGCGCAGCACCAGACCAGGCGCAGCACCAGCAGGCGCAGGCGCAGCACCAGCAGCAGCAGCACCAGCAGGCGCAACGCCAGCAGCAGAAGGGCCCGCCGTGGCTCCGAGAAGGCCCCAATAAGGCTTCGGAATATCATTAAAGTTACGCCCCCCCCCCCCCATCCCTCGCCACTCTGGCCCCCAGCCGCACTTGCAGCTGCCTCGTGAGCTTACCACTGGGCCCCCATCTCCTGCGGTCGCGCCAGCTTCAAGCATGTATGAGCGCCACGAAGGCCCACATATTGCGGCTAGCATGTACGGGTGTAGCGACGCCCCAGATCCGGTGCCAGAGTGGGCGCCAATGGCGCTGGAAGGCTTGTCGCAATCCCAAGCGCTTCCAGTCTCCCCGAGCCCTACACTCCCATGGTTTGCCGACCACAACGGCGAGGCCATGAACCTCGAGCGGTGCCCCCGCGGGCAGCGCAGCGACCACATGCAGCACATCGACCACCTCGAGTGGACACACGGCGGGGCCCCGAACGAAGAAGAGGTCAGGGACTGGGAACTCGCTGAGGCCATCACGAGAGCCAATGGGGATATCGCGCGCTTGGAAAAGATCATGAAGCGCGATCCCGAGTGGATTTCTACTCAGCCGATGAAGGTCGCCGCGCCTCCATGGAGAGAACAGAGCACCCCCGACGCCGACGAGAGCAAGCCCGAGCGCGACGAGATCAAGCCAGTCGCCGAACAGAGCATCCCCAACGCCGACGAGAGCAAGTCCGAGCGCGACAAGAGCAATCCAGATGCCGACCAGAGCATCACCGAGAGCAAACCAGTCGCCGACCAAGGCCATTTTGACGCCGACGATGGCACGCCCGCCGCCGACACGACCCATGCCGAGGACGCCATGCACATCGACGAGCTGCGAAACTTCTACCCCCACGCGCCCGTCGCAAACCAGAAAATGTTCTGGGACGTCGAGACCCAGGGATGGACAACAGCCGTATATGGCAACCAGCGCCGCGGCTCTGGAACAAAAACGCCCGCCTGGGCGCTACGGGCAGCGGGGCGGAACGAGGAACCCGGACGTGCAGTCGCACAGCGTGAAGGCCCAGGCCGAACGAGAGGGCTGGCTGCCACTATTCCGCCAGAAGCCCCCGCGTCGCAGCAGCGTGGGCAGCGGGGGCCAGAGCTTTCAGCCTGGGGCCCCATCGCAGCATTAGACACGCAGCAGAGCATCATGCAGCGGAGCAGCAGCCTCGACAGTACACAGTGCACCAACCTCGCCGCTAGGAAGCGCAGACGCAGCCTCAACAATAGACAGCGCGCCACCGCCAGCCTCAGGAATGCACTGCTCGGAGGCGCCCGCGCATTTTAATTGTTGCGCACCCGCGCGCGCGCGAACTGCGAACTTGGATTTCGGCGCAGCTGCGCCATCGGAAAACGTTGCCGAACCTTGTCGCCACTCACTTTTCGCCTGGCCTTCATTGCGTCACCCCCCCTTCAAGCGATCGCCCCGCCAGCGGCACATCCGCGTCCGCGCCCCCCCCCCCACCCCACCCCCTGCATCCATCGCCCTCTTCATCCCCTGCTGTTGATTCCACCGGCGGCCTCTGCATTATGCAGCCTCCTCCTCGTCACCCCCCCTTAGCCCTCGTTCCATGACATCGTCATCATACGAGCGGGGTGGGGGCGGAGGGGGCGCCCTGGGCCACGGCGCTTACCTTCGGACCAGCGCCGGCCCGAAGCAATCGAGGCTCGAGCTGATCCAGCGTCTCGCGTGCCCTCGCGGGGCAATGCTTCTTCTCGGCTTCTCGCTTCCGCGAGCTCATGTTTCCGAGCGGCACTCCCGCTTCCGCGGCAGTGCCCAAGGGCGCGAAGATGGCCAATGGCAAGACTACAGTTCACGTCGAGGGCCTGACAGCGGGCCAGGCCAGGAAGGCCGTTGGAGACCGCAGCTCCAACCCGATGGACACGTTCAAAACGCCCCCGCCTCAACGTGGTGCTTTCACACGCAAGCAATGGAAATATGTGCGCGATCTCATCCACCTTCTTGACCGAGCTCGACACCAGTGGCACCCGTAAACCTAGGCCGCCCTGCAGGACAGCACGCAGAGGCACCAGAGGTCATCGCAACACCCGACAAGGACGACGAGGACGGCTCAGGCTCTGACGTCGCGGGCAGCGGCTCGCCATCATCCTCGGAGAAGGATGGTGAGCGGCCGAAGCAGGTTGATGCGGGCGGGCCGCCAGCTGCAGCTCTTCTGGGCCCGTCCTAAGCTCGCCCCAGCAGCTCAGTGTGCCCTTGAGAAGGCACAGAGGAAGGTGGCCAGTGGCGACAGCGCGACATTTCATATTATCGAACCACTTGCTCGGCGCCCCGTCAGCAGCGTTGCAACTTACGCTCTACGCTCGCCATTAACACGTTTCGCCCGTGCCGCGCCCAGAAACGTTGTCCTTCTTTCCCTCTATACCCCCCCCCCCCGGGCATTTCCAAACTCGTCGGCTTGACCATCGGTTGAACCTGGGAGGTGGGGTGGGCCTATGCCTCGGGCCCCACCATGGCCCCACTCGGTTCTCTCCAGGGCGGGTGGTGTTGTTTTTGCGATTCCGAATGGAGTCTGCGAACCAGTCTTTGCGAGGCCTCCACCCAGGACCACCTTTGAGGGCTAGGCTTTCAACCCAGGGCGCCCTCAGGCCTCCAAAGACGAGCCCGCGCACCTTGGCTCGTCGTAAAAGCTTGCAACCGCTACGCGGATGGAGGGTGGATCCATTCCTATATGGGGCTCTCGCCCTCAGGAAATATAGCAACAACAACTCCTCCTCTGGTCGCCAAGAGCTCTCGCCCCCCCCCCCCCCCCACACCCCGACAACCTCCTCCGACAGCCGCCATCTTGGCCCGGCAATGCCGCTATGCTTGTCCGGGTGTCAGCGCTTCCAGCCGTTAGGCAACGACTTGCTGTTCTCGCTGACCGCGCTGGTCCATGTCGGACGCGGCCGCGCTGCGAATCAGGCTGGGGGCGATCGGGGCGGCGCATCGGGCTGTCGATGGGGCCGATCGGCACGAGGCGCTGCCTTGGGCTCAGTCCAACGCCGTCGTCGCCATGCTAAACCGCGCGCGGGCAACCATCTCACTCGATGACAAGGCAGCGCTGGCACCTCTGATCACCAATGTGGACTGGTGCCAGGACCACGGCATGCCAACATTGGCTATACTTGGCAGGGGTTCATCCTCGGGCAACAATCGCTATGCCCAGCAGAAGAACACGAGCTTCCTTGAGTTCCTCACTGAAGATAATTGGTCCTACTTGTTGCCCGATGACGGCGTTGTGCCGCCCAGCAACGCTTGCCTGCCCCTCATCAGCCAGGGCGGCTACAGCGCGTGCGAGCGCACGACCATGCTGATGACTTCGACGTGGCTTCTCATGTGCGAGCCTACGGTGAACAAGATGAGCTGCTTTCAGTTGAAGACGCACCACAACTACGCCAAGAAGGAATACAGGGCAATTGCAGAGGAGTGCCCGAGGCCCGACACCTACATAGACACGCTGCCGACTCTGCCAAATGACCTGGCGCGTTCACACCCGAAGGCCTACGCCAGGGCATGCGCCACTCGCGCGGGCGACGGGCCCATGCGGTGCCCACTGGGCATGGGCAAGCTTCGGGACATTGACAATCGGCATCGGTGCAATGGAATTGGGCCCGAGACGCATCCGCTTCAGCAAATGGGCGGAGGGCCGCAGGGCCCGGGCAACGCGGCAAGCAGCCAGTTGGCGCCCTTCGGCCCCGGCGGGCAGGACGACATCAG